CATGGGTGGCCACGCTGAGCTCACCCAGTGCATGGCCAGTGACTGGCACTCAGTAGTGACCACACTGAGCTCTCCTGGTGTGTGGCCAGTAACTGGCACCCGTCAGTGGCCATACCAAGCTTGCCTGGTGCGTGGCTGGTGACCAGCAGCCGTTGGTGGCCATGTCATGCTGAGCTCTCCCTCTCCCCGCAGTGCTGAAGGCGCAGCTGAACACCAAGCTCTTCGGGCAGCACCTGGCCAAGGACGTGGTGCTGAAGGCAGTGATGGGCTTCAGCAACAACCCCAGCCCCAAGAAGCCGCTCACGCTCTCGCTCCATGGCTGGGCGGGCACTGGCAAGAACTTCCTCAGCCAGATCCTGGCGGAGCACGTCCACCCCGCCGGCCTGCGCAGCAAGTTCGTCCATCTCTTCCTGGCCACCCTGCACTTTCCCCACCACGACCAAGTCAAGCTCTACAAGGTGAGGAGGGACATAAGGTAATACAGTTACCCTGACACCCTGCACCCCCTCGTGTGGGGGTTTGGCTGTTTGTGCTGCACAAGGTTCCCCAGGTACCTGACAACTGGAGGTTTACAGCTGGGTATTTCCCAAGTTGGTGCTCAAGAGAAATGGACGGGGAAACATATTCAGGAAATGAAAGAGAAAGGCACCAAAATGCCAGGAAATCCAAAGTGAAAGTAATGTGCCAGTGCTGGCCTCTCACTGATGCCATCTGCTGATTCTTGCGGTGCTTGCTGTTAGGAAAGAATCCCGGCATTAAAACTGCACTTACTGGTTGGCTGGGACGGAGATAAGTTTCTCCATAGCAGCGCCTCGGTGCAGTGTTTTGCATTTGCAGCTAAAACAGTGTTGATAACGCACCAGTGTTTTGGCTGTTACGGAACAGTGCTCACAGAGTCTCAAAACTTGCTTTTTCCCTCCCCCACAGTCATAGCGAGCAGGCTGGGGTAGGGAAGAGACTGGGAGGGGACACAGTTGGGGTAGCTGACCCCAGTTGGCCACAGGTATATTCCGTAGTGTATGCTGTCATGCTCAGCAACAAAAACTGGGGCAGTTGCTCTAACACTGGCTGGGCATTGGTCTGCATGTGTCAGGGGCATGAGTGATTCCCTTTGCTTTGTTTTTTCCTCTTTCCATCACCTGTCAAACTGTCTTTATTTTGACACATTAATTTTCTCACTTTTATTCTTTGTCCTCTCTCCCCCATCCTGCTGGGGTGCTTGGCTGCTGGCTGGGTCAACCCACCATGCACTATGCAATGAGAAAGTGTAGCCTGCATGAGAGATTTTTCAAGTGACTTCATTCCTTGACATTGCAGAACTCTGATCTCCATGTTTTAATGTTTGAAGGTACCCAAAACTGATGTTCTGATAGATGTGGTTTCTGTATGAAAGAGGAAACACTGATTATTTTTTTTAAAAACAAACAGAAAGAGGCTTTCTCTTCTTCAAGACTTCCTATCTCAGCCTGGCTTTTGTGCCTTACCCTGACGCTAAGCAGAAAGAATAAGGAAGTCTCTCAACTGTGAGCAGGAAAAGAATTCACATTTAAATTCAGTGTCACAAGTTAAAGGGATCAGTCACAGTGTTTATGATCCTCTCTTCAGGAAAAAAGTATAACCAGCGAGTGTGCGATGTTGACATTTGAAAGGGTGTCGCTCAAGGCTGTAACATCCAAATATTTTGCAGTACATCCCCAAGGGACCTAGTTTTTCAGTGTTTTTCAACCTCTTGTTCCAGGAACAACTGCAGAACTGGATTCGGGGCAACGTCAGTGCCTGTCCCCAGTCTATCTTCATTTTTGATGAAATGGACAAAATGCACCCGGGTCTCATTGATGCCATCAAGCCGTTCTTAGACTATTATGAGCAGGTTGATGGGGTGTCCTACAGGAATCATCTTCCTCAGGTCTGTAGCACCTATTTCAGTCATTTTGACATACTGAGATAAATCTGTGTTTATGATGATAATGATGTTCCTATGGGACCTCACTCAAAGAACAGCAGAAGATCTGCTCTGGAGTGAAGACCCTCTCTGTAGAGACAGAGGGGAGTACTATGAGCTCTTGTGTGGCCTGTGGCTGTAGCAGAGCAGGGCTGATGCTGTGCAGCAGACCACTGCAGTGTGCTGAGCTCACGAGCCTGGCAAAGAGCACAGACCCTGTGAGAGTTCACATTTTGGGGAAGTTCTCTGGGATGGGTGCACCACTTTGGCATGGGTCTGGCTGGGATGGACTTAACTAACTGTCTTCACAGCAGCTGGTTTGGTGCTGTGTTTTGGATTTGTGGCTAAAACAGTGTTGATAACACAGCAGTGTTTTTGGCTGTTCTGGTTGGTGCTTGCAAAGCCTCAAGGCTTTCTCTTTTTCCCATGCTGCCCCCAGCGAGTAGGCTGGGGTGGGCAGGAGGATGGGAGAGGACACAGCTGGGACAGCTGATCCAAACTGGCCTGGGGAATATTGAATGTTGTGTAATGTCACGCTCAGCAATAAAAACCGGGGTAGAGAAAGAAGGTGGGGGTCAGGTTCCAAGGTGATGGTTCTTTGGAGACTGCCTGGGCATTGGTCTGACTGGGGGGGTGGGGAGTGATTTCCTTAGCCTTCCCTGGTGATTTTTTTTCTCCTCTTTTCATTACATATTAAACTATCTTTATCTTAACCCACAAGTCTTCTCACTTTTGTTCTTCCTATTTTCTCCTTCCATCCCGCTGAGGCAGGAAAGAGTAAGCAAGCAGCTGTGTAGGTGCTTGGCTGTTGGCTGGGGTCAACCCACCACACACTGATGGCTATTTAAAGAACTGGAGACTTTCCCTAAATTTTGGCTTACAGGTTTCTGTTTTGGTGACTTGTTTGACATCAAGAAGATTAGCAGTACGCGTAACTGGCTAAAAAAGAAATTGTGTTGTGTCTGTATTCACTACTGTCCATTTTTCTTTTATGAATAGTAATGCAGGTGGTGAATTAATTAATAAAGCAGCTTTTGACTTCTGGACAAGTGGAAAGAACAGGGAAGAGATTCAGCTGAAAGACTTGGAGCCTGCGCTATCTGTAGGAGTCTTCAATAACAAGAACAGTAAGTCACTTTCCCCAGAAAATGGGAAATTCCTTTTACTTCATAACACAAGGTTCATCTCTTGACCCTGCCCTGCTTTTCCCTTTTACCCAACTCCTCCAGGTGGACTGTGGCACAGCAGCCTCATCGACAGGAACCTCATTGACTACTTTGTCCCCTTCCTGCCCCTGGAGTACAAGCATGTGAAGATGTGCATCAGGGCTGAAATGATAGCCCGTGGCCATGCTGTCGATGAGGAGATTGTTCAAGCAGTGGCTGATGAGATGACGTTCTTCCCAAAAGAGCAGAAAATCTACTCTGATAAAGGCTGCAAGACTGTACAGGCCAAGCTGGATATTCACGAAGACATTGTGATGAGAGATATGAAAGCCAGGGGCTGATGACCCTTCAGGTCTCCAAAGCACTTTCAGAGCTTTTGGAAATCTGTATATTTGCACTTAAGCTTTTTTACTGTTGCAGGGAGTATGGTGAAAATACTGTGTGGGCTTTTTAACTTTTTTTTTTTTTAAACTTAACATCCCACTGTTCATTTCTGAACTGGCTGGTATCCAAATGCTGCCCCCTTTGTTTTTCTTTCAACCTATAGAGAATTTCTGAGCGTGACACATACATAGCACTGCATACAGCCTCTCCTGTTTTATCTTTCCAAGTGCTGGGATTATTAAGTATTTAATTCCTCTTTCCACAAAAACTGGGCTAGAGCAAAGGAGAACAGAGGAATTCTTCCAGGCAGTCATATTCCCTTCCTTGTACATGGTGTTGTTCACAGGCTAGTGAAAGGAAGGGCTGTGTGGTATGTTCAGGACTATGATAGTGTCTGCAAGGGTGAACACCTTGATGAGTTGCAGTAAGAAGATGGCATGGAGGAAGGCTTCCTGTCCTTTGCAGCAGATTGCTGCTGTTGTGGCTTCTACAGATGAGCGTCAGCTACTCACGGACAGAAGGGCATGTTTACAATTTATGTCTGAGCTGTGGCATCATATCACATCTCCTGCTACAGTAGTATGGGAAGTCATGGTAAGGTCAGGGAAATCTGTTAGTAAATAGTAGAGAAAGGATGTGGGGGCGGGAAGTAACTGCTCGCCCCTCTGCTGCTTTGGGTTAAAAGAAACTTTATATTTTTCTAAGGGGGCTAAGTGAATGTGTGTGCTAACTCCAGGTCTTCCTAAGCAAAGGGACTCATCTGAGAGATCCAATTGTTAAAACATGCTAGGCCAGTCTCCTGTTCTTAACTAGAGAAATCGTTCATGAGGATTTGATTGTTACAGCTTGTCAGGTTAATCTGCATGCAGGCTCCTGGGCCTGAAGTCCCAGGAGCTTTGGCAGTCCCTCCCCGCTACACCCAATAGCCTAGGAGTGGGTAACACTATTCTCACCTTGCTTGGAAGGCGCTTTCATGGCAGAAGTTATTTTTAATAGTGTATTTTTATACTGAAGTGTAAGCAACAGCAATACAAAGCTCTTCCTAGAAAGCCACACAGAAGGGAGTATGGGAAATGGGAGCAATCAACAACCACCCCATACCTCACTAGAGAAGTATGTTTTATAGTAGCTTTTAACATTAAAGAATGTCTGTGTGGAAGGGTGCATGATGAGTTAGGGAGCTGGGAAGGATGATTTAACCTTCACCCACTTGGTAAGGCTGGGGTTTAAAATTCTGTTACAAGCTTTAACTCTTTCATCATCCATCACTTGTGGTTCAGATACTGTAGCACGAGACAGAAGTGCCTAGGACTTGGTTGATTGTAGTGTTTTTTAAACTGGTACAAGGGATTGGGCTATTTTTGTGCTGCAGATTCTACTCCTTCACTTGTACTTAAACTTGCTTTAAGATGTGATGCAAAACTTATAGGTCTCAACACTATTATGTCAATTCAAATTGCAACAGAGCTTAGCATTTGTTAAGCTCTAAATTAAAAATGTCGATTGCCTTTTACAACCCCACATGGAATTTGTCAAATGTTGGTAAACTGTTCATGCTGATGCAATCTCCAGAGCCAAACACTAGCTAGCCATTAACCTTGGGACATTGGACTGTTGCTTTTCATGTATAGTGTTTTGCCTGTTAACTGACTTATTCATAGGTGTAAATGGTACATCTAGTTACAGTGACTCCAAATACAAAATACTTGTGCAATTTCAAAACACTAAATATTACTACTGTACTGCAGTTGGAATAAATCTCAAATAACTTTTCTCTCTTGGTTTAATAATGTTCAGCTCTAGGAAAATACTAGTTTATGCAGTTTTCAAAGAGCTGCAGCTTTCTGTTAAGCTTCCTTTATTCTTAAAAACTTGTTTATAATAGATAAGCAGATTAAATAGCCTGTTGATATTAAAACAAGCTGAGTCATCCAACAGCACAGTAAGGCAGTCAGCAGTTAGATAAAGCTCAGTAGAAATAAACAGCTATGAAAAAGCCTTAAAATCTCTGCCTGCTCTGCTTCATAGTTATTAACAGTTATCTCCTACCATACTGCCAGGCACTGCAGGATAAATAAGCCTCAGGTAGCTCATTTAACCATTCCTCCTCTCTGTGCTGCATCTGGAAAGCCGTCATTCAAAGCAGCTCTTCACCTCTGCTCTAGCTGGCAAAGGCATGACAGGACTCCAGGCTTTGATCCTATCTCCATGGGCCAGAGCCTCTGCAGCCTCCCTAGTACTGAAAAAGCGCCAGTGTGTAAATAACGGCGTAATTCAAGCAAGGTAGAGCTGTTGGCAACAATGTGCACCTCACTGAACAGTCAGTTGTTCGCGCTGTTGTGAACCATGTGTTGTGCTGTGATGATGCACAAGAAAACTCATTACGGAGCGTATCTGGGAAGCGTACGCTGTCTTGTTCATCAGGACTTTGCACTGTGCCGCTCCGCACACACGACAGCTTGGCTGTTTGGCCCAGAGCGTCAGGCAGATGAAGCTCTAGGGCCAGGCTGCCTCTTTCTATCAAAAGCAGCACTTAATACATCACTGTATTTTAACCATAGCCTCTGATTTTATGAGCACAGCATGAGCTCTTGGAGCGCTCCCTGCAGAAGAAGGTTGAATTAAAGCAGCAGTTGCTTGTACTGGACTTTGTAAGAACAAACAAAATTCAGTCTCAGCGACTGCTCAGCTACTCTCACCTGACCAATGGACTGTTCCTCTGGAGAATCAGACCTTTCCCCCCATTTGACATTTTTATTTAAGTTGTCTGATCCAGTTTCAGGTGGCCTATTAAAAAGAATAATGGCCAAAATTACCCAGTCAAAGCAAGAAAGACACAGTGAGGACCTCAGCTTTGAAACCATGCAGTCTAGAGGGGGGAATGACAACAGGATCAGAAGGATCAAACCTGGCAGTGATTTCAGGCACACACATTTCTTTCACCCAGATGCAGGAGATGCCCCTAGCCAGGTCTGCTGTTTTCAAGAACAGTCAAGAGATTAAACAGAGGCAGTCTCCACCCTTTGAACATAATCTCTACATCCTTACAATGCTGTTCACATACACATCTAGAAAGTCTGCCTCTACAAAAACCGTGCGAGTGTTATTAGTACCAACGGTCTAGAAGTGCAATTTCCACTCCAAACTTCTTTTGTTTCCCTTTCACCAGGTAGCAAAGTCACATCTCCTCCTATCTATTCCCTTTGAACTCAAGAAGGGAGGTACCTGTATTCGAACACAGCTGAACACTTCAGCCAGAAAAGCAGCATGCCCTTCTTCAACTAGTAGGAACTTTGTGCAAAATTAACATCAAATCACTCAATGCAAAGAACACCAGAAGGTAGCTAAGAAATACATTTCCTATGAGAAAAGTTTATTCTGAATAGAAACTGGAGTGAAAAAAAGCCTCTGCAGTGCTCACATTCAGAAACGAGTCTGACACGCTTCGCAGTAACTTCAGTTGACACATCTCGCATCTTTTTTTCAAATGCCTTTGGATCTGTCTTCATCCCTGCCTCAAAGGCACACAGTATGGTGAGAAGATGAAAAAGGGAAACCCCTGCAGGCTCTTCCCTGAATTCTACTATGTAGGTGAAGAGGAGAAACCTCTCTTCCGTTTCCTTGGTGTAAAATTTAACCTGTACACACTTCCCATTAAGTTACACCCTTTCCATGAAGGTGACTCACCAGTCAGCATACTTTTCTCCCTCCTGAGATGGCTCCTGGGAGAGCATACTCTGGGCAACTTTATACATAAAAAAGTAACCAAAACCAGGAACCAGCTACAATGATGTGGCAGTCAAGGATTTTAACTCACTTCCTTGTAATACTAAGTCCGCTCTCTGCTATTCACAGCAAAGAGTTTCATATTCCTGGTTTGGCATGCAAGGAGACCAAATTATACCTTTGTTTTGATAAAGACAATGATACTGCATGATGTCAGATAGAAGACTCTGGATTTTTTTAGTTACAGAATTCTCCCTTATCTTTACTGGAGCCAAGTTGTTCAAGGAGAAAAGACACATATCCTAATGCAGTTACAGGAACATTCCCACACAAGCCCAACGAAGGCTTTCACAGGCATAAGAACTTTGATTAAAATTCTCAATATTGTCTAGAGATCATCCACATCAAACCAAAATCCAATTAAAATTCGGTCATAGACTCAGTCCTTCCATACATGCCAACATTCTGCCAAATGGTTCTGATGATCAACACACGATCCAAGAGTCGTCTTTGGCACTGTCAGACACAGAACCCCGCATTCACAACGCAGTTCGTCCTTACCTTGACAACACAAGGCTGAAGTACCTGGGAGCCATGGCTAGTGACAGAATAAAAATGCAGAGGCACTGCTGCTTATTTACACACCAGTTAAAACATAATGTTCCTTCAAGCACTTTAAAATGTGCTTAAAAATGAAATGTAATGGGTTGTCCACTTTGTGATTAAGTTAAATTTGCTTCTTTGCAGGTTATAGCAATAAAGTGTTAGAAGTCATAGTAGTAATCCAGCTTTGCATCCACAGTTTTACATCCTTTATCTGAATAAATTCTCTCCTCTCTGGGGAAGTAGGTCATCTCGTCAGCTATTCTGGTTAAAATGTCTTCGTCCACAGCATAGCCACGAGATTCAATCTCAACCCTGACGCACATTTTCACATGTTTGTATTCCAGAGGCAGGAAGGGAACAAAGTAGTCAATGAGATTTCTGTCAATCAAGGTGCTGTGCCAAAACCCACCTGCAATGGGAAAGAGAGTTGTTAATAGTCCTCCAGTTAAACACTACCACGGGCTGAACGGGAGCAAGAGGCACATCCTAGCCCTCTGCTACATACCAGTAAGAATTCACCTGCAGTTTTAGGGTCCTATAACGCACAAGTCCAAATACGAGCCCCTTCTCATGGTACTTTGTACATCAAGCTCTGGACAGACACATAAATGTGGTCCACTGCATATGAATTAATGAATTCTGACTGCCTTGCTCCCCAGGTGCTAGTCTCATACTTTCCCCACTCCCACCTAGAGAAGAACAGATTTCCTCTCTCTTATCAGCTCTCCCAGACCACCTTTCTTGCTCCTTTTTTTGGAGCTTGTATCTAACCTTTTTAAGAAGTACAGTAAGTTTGCTTCCCATTATAATTTTAGAGCATAATTATGTTAAAATCCCTTTTCACTAGAAGTCCTGCACGAGAAAACCTAAGAAGTACTGGACTGCCCACAGCAGGGCTGGCACGTCAGCTTGTCGCTCCTAAATAGCTGCCTGAAGGCTTTTTACAGACTGAGCAAGACAGGCTAAGTGGGTTGGGGGCCAAGGAAGTGAATTCCCCACTGTCCTGGTTTCAGCTGGGATAGAGTTAATTTTCTTCCTAGTAGCTGGCATGGTGCTGTGGTTTGGATTTAGGATGAGAATAACATCAACAACACCCTGATGGTTTAGTTGCTGCTGAGCAGTGCTTACACCAGTCAAGGACTTTTCAGCTTCCCATGCTCTGTCAGGGGCACCAGAAGCTGGGAGGGGCACAGCCAGGACAGCTGACCCCAGCTGGCCCAAGGGCTATTCCAGACCATGTGGCATCATGCCCAGTATAGAAACTGGGGGAAGCTGGCCCAGGAGCAGCGATCCCTGCTCAGGGATGAACTGTGCATCACTCGGTGGGTGATGAGCAATTGCACTGTGCATCACTTGTTTTCTATATTTTTTTTATCATTATTATTATTTTCCTCTGCTGTTTTCTACATTTTTTTAATCATTATTATTATTTTCCTCTGCTTGTTAAACTGTCTTTATCTCAACCCATGGTTTGTTTTTTTTTTTATCTATTCTCACCCCCATCCCACTTGGGGAGTGGGGTAAGGAGTGAGTGAACGGCTGTGTGGTGTTCAGCTGCCTGCCGGGTTAAACCATAACACCCATAATAAAACATTTTATTGGTTAAAGATTTTTCAGCTGCTGCAATATCTAGCCTTACTGTCAGGATTTCTGTTTGCTTTCCCTTTAGCCCATTAGTATGTCAATAAATGCACGGTGTAGACTTCCCTCAACATAAGCAATCCAACGGAGGGCAAACATGCTGGTAGCCAAGGTGCACACAGAACTCCTTAACCTTCATTTCATCTCAAGAGCGGACTGTAGGCCTCCAAACTGCATCGTGGTTCCTTGCTAGCCAAAAACTGGAGGCCACATCGAGTAGAAACCATAGCTGTAAAAATGCAGCCACATACAGCCCATCCCTTTTGTGGAGATGTGCCACCTCAATAGCAATCACTGTTTCACTCACTATTTTTGTTATTGAAGACAGACACAGACAGTGCATTCTGGATATCTGTGAGCAGTATATCTTCCCTCTTCTTCCCGTTTCTCCAGAAATCTAGCGCCACCTCTGTTATCTTTTCAGCTCCTGCATTGCTAAGTAAAGAGAAAACAAAGACTGTAGCCGGACATAGTTTTAAAAGGCATCAAGTGTACAGAACAGCAAGCCTGAGAAGCCATTTCTTACCTGAGGAATATGAAGATGGCTTGTCGGTAAGACACCCCATCCAGAAACTCGTAATAGTCCAGGAATGGCTTGATGGAGTCAATGAGTCCTGCATGCATTTTATCCATTTCATCAAATATGAAGAGTGATCTGGGACAGATGCTCACATTTCCCCGAATCCATGACTGCAACTGGTCCTGAGTGGCATAAAAATAAAAGATGCTGAGTTTGTGTTGAAAAGACAGAAAATAGCACTTCTGCTTATTGACCTTTGTCCTGAAAGTCATTTCAATTGTGTCATTCTAAGAGCTTTGGCTCCTTGACTAAAACATCGTTAAAAACTGTAAATAAAATTTTAACAAAATCTCATGCTGATTCTGAAAAAATTTAAGACACAAGAGACGGGATGGGGCAAGCAGGGAATGTCCTCATGAGAAAGATATTCCTGCTAACATAGCAAAAATGAAAGTGCACAGCAGGAGAAAGGATGCATACCACCAAGGAACAGCAGCACAAAGCAAAGATCATTACTTTTGGCAGCACTTTGGTCTAAATATCCTTAGGTGTCAAAGCTATGGACAATATTAAATTTGCTACCTGAACTGCACCAGCGAGAAACAGCGCCTGCAGCCACTGGCAGAAGTAGAAACAGAATTCAATTCTCAGCCCTGTGTTTAATCATTCAGACGTTAGATGAAGACAATTACAAGCCCTTCTTAAAACACAATATTGTTCAGAAGGGCTAATGTTTTATTGTATTTAAAGATTCTCTCACTTAAATGTTGCATTTTTCTCTCACTTAAGTCATTTAAGATCGGTAATGAAGTAACTGGGAAAAAAGGGTTGATCTGCTAGCAGATGAACGAGAAAGTAACTGTTTGGACCATTTTCAGTAATTCTTTTTTTATATTGACTGTTTCCTCAGCTCCTGAACTGCAGAGGCAGCGCAGGAAGGTGTCATTGGGTGTATTTGTGGATAAGAAACAATAGTTCCTCCTGCTGCCTTGGGCAGCAAGTTTCCCAAGTGTATTCACCTTGAAACAAATGCAGAAAATGATCCATTTTATTTTAGATCAACTCAGTTTCAGGAAGGGGAAAAATTAAGCTGTAAAAAAGGAAACATATTTCTTCCATTTAGAAATCAGGTTTCTAGACCATCCTGTTCCCATTTTTAACATACAAAAACTGAATACAAACAGTACTACAAAAAACAGTGGTACTCATTCAAACTCTGCTGTTAACAAAGTTAGTTAGAATAAAAAAACCCCAAACACATGCACCCAAGGTACCACTCCACGATACCCACCTGCCTACAGAACTGCACTGACACTTAGCAAATGGGCAGAACAATTCCAAACATGTTTATCTGAACCTTTCTGACAACACCGTATTTTGTGATTTTCTTTTACAGCTGGGAAATGGATGCATAGAAAAACTAAATAACCTGCTCAGTGTGCAGAAAAACTGAAAAGTACCCACATCTCAGAGAGCAAACTTCAGCTTGCCATGGTACCTGCCACGGTTCCCCAAAGTCATGAACTATTAGTTTTTTGCAGTGCCCACCAG